TTAATCCCATGCGCTAATGTTTCCGATGGATGATGTCTTTAACCAATTAATAGTGAAAGTTGCCATTGGATATTGTCATTTGCAATAGAAATAAAGCCCTAAACAGACAATCAAGTCAACTGATTTTGTTGTTACAAGTCAATATACATATTTACACTTGTTAAATTAAGTTTTTTTATATTTCTCCGTAGCATAAACAAATGACTACGTATCTAACTAAATATATTTTTATATTGTCACCAGTTCTTACATCGCCATGAAATAAATAGTCATTGGTTTACCAATAAACAACTATAAAAGCAATTAAAACAATTAAATAGCTAACTGTCCTTATCCTTCACATTGTATGCGCAAAAGACAGAAAAAGATTCATTACGTCAATTTCAATTGTTTGAACCACAAGCAATTGAAATATTTAGAACAAAGAAACTATAGAGTCGCTTTGATGTTAATGTTACTTTCAAAATGATTTTTTTTATTAAATGTCAGTTTAACGGCTTGGGGTTACTTATCAGCATTCGGAAAAGACGTTTGCCCGAAATAACGTTTGCTTGAATTTTCATAATCCCAAATGTATTTTTTTAGGTGTTTTTAGGAATATTACAAAACAAACCTACGCCATCTTAATCTTTTCTTTGTTTGTTTGTTCAACCAATATTCCCTGAAAGCACACCGGTTTTGTTATAAATCGGTTCTCGAGATTATGAAATATTTATCTACATAACTTTTTATTAACGAAAAGAGGCGATACATAACTTTTTTATGATTAAAAATGAGAGTTATAAAATTTCACATTTACATCGCTTTTAGCACTTTTCACATATGATCACATGTGGCTATGTTATACCAAGAGCGTGAATTAGAGTTTTAATATTTGCATAATTATACTACTAGGAGTTTCTCAATGTCAGTTATTTGCAACTATAATATTACTTACAGTTGCAATATAATATTAATGTAATCTCACTCACTGTAAAGTGAAATAAGGTTAACGATAACGTATACGCGGGCCTCAGGAGAAACCAGTTCTCTAGGGTCTTGAGCAAATCATAACACTATCGCGAAGTTACAGAAAAAACAGTCGTAGGTATCCGATTCCGCCTGTCTCCGGTCCTGTTCACGAGTCGTTTTAAAATGTATTCCATATTACAAAAGCCAGGTCAGTATGAATAGCAAGCTTGTTTGCACCGTGTCCGTTGGACCGTGTCGTGACGGCGCCTGCACGACATCAGCAAACGTTATTGGAAATGTTTGTGTTTACTTTTACAAGCTCTGAACCTCCCGCTTCATTTTTAGTTTTGCGACCTGGAAAACGTATTAGCTAAACGAACTTCTTTAGAAAACTGATTTTACATCCGATGTAGTGGTAGTCTACCGCTGCGCAAGGAAAGGCCATGGGTTCGACACCGAGCTCGCACCTCGTTTCTCGAAATTTATGTGCATAATCTAATTAAAAATTTACTTTTTTGATTAAATTTGAAATTAGCTTTTCGGCGAAGGAAACATCGTGATGAAACCTGCACGCCGAAGAAGGTTCACAATCCTCAGAAAACAACATAAACACTCGCCTGATAGGAGACCAGTGCCCAGCAGTGGGAGGTATAAATGGGTTGATTATGAATCAGATTTTATATGAAGTACATATAGTTGACCAGCGAGCATAATAAAAAAATTGTTTATTCAGTCATCGCCTAGGTTGAGAGACGAGTATTTTCGAAAGATGTGAAGTGAGCTAATATTTTATATTAGCAGTAGAGTTCCTTGTGACTGAGTTCGTTCAGAGAACTACTACCACCTTACCTTTTTTTGCTACCAAGCCATAATGTGAGCATTACTACGTTCCAGGTTTGAAAGGGTGTTGGTGAAATTACAGGCACATGGAACTAGTCAACTTATGGCAGTGCATCACAAATCTTTGCGGTTTAAAGCTCTGTGTAGCACTGAGACTGTTTCGGGTAGACGTGTCGCTTACCACCAGACACAGGACTAAACTTGTTCGTCCTGTCGCTTGGTAAAATAAAAAAAATAATGAAACAGTAACCGCGAAGGAAAACATCCAGTATAGCAACAAGTCTAACCTGCATGGCAAAAAAGGGTCCCATTACTCCGTGAAGACAATGTGTAAACTCCCCAACCTCCATACGACCACGGCATAAAACTACGCCAGATGCCTATTTACTTATTTTCGCAATATTCGTACAGTTAAAGAACTCCCTATCATTTCTACACAATATAACATACAAGCTTTATAATTCCCTTATACTGCTAACTAACCCATATTTTGACCAATAACTACAAAGTCTAATTATGACTGGAATATAGAACTATACCAACAAACTGAACAATAACACACCTTAACCAAGTAACAACAAACTCTCATAAGGAAAGTTAGTTACATTTAATTGGTAAGACCGAGTGAATTGTCCATTTATTTATACGATACGATACTCTTTATTGTTTGTATCTCATAATGACACGAATTAGAGTTAATGATGAATAGCAATGTAATTATATTTTGAGCACGACAAGGTGCACTTATATAAATACGTACCACTAATATATTGTTCCAAATGATTTTTCAGACTACAACAGCTATTATTTCTGATCTAAAAGTAGGGAATTTGATGCGCAACGAGTACTAAACCGGGGCAATGAAATTAGTTCACTACCCAGACTAGAACTTTCGATTCCTAAAGTGTTATAGGGCTAACCACTGGGTTACCGAAGTTGATGAATTACAATTCAGCCATAAAGTTTATTTATTTATTTATTTCATATATGCAGCTATTTTTACAGAATCATCCCAATACAATAGTGTAGCATTCCATAACGTAATCAATCACATAACATAATATTATAACTAAAATAACAATAATAATGATTGAAAATTGATAACAATTAATTAAAGCCAATTTATAATAAAGGGCAATATGAATAATATGCAATAAAATAGAAATAATTATGAATAAAGCAAAAATAGTATAGCCTTGATGAACTCGCTCTCAAAACAAGTAAAAATGTCTACTTCTTCAGCTACTCGATTTAGTGTATGAATGGTGCGAGTAAGAGACACCTTGTTGTCCAGTTACAAGTTACTTGTTGTAAAGGTACGACAAGTTACTTATCATAAAGGTATGAGCTATTAGTTTGAGACTATTTGGTAATGTCGAATTTAGATAAAGTTAATTTTTTTTAATCTTTATAGATAAGTTGTTATAATAAAAAACATATTACATCATAGAATAAAATTTTAAATACTTAAGAATCACCATTTCGGACCCCTATTTGATACAACTCGTCTCGTATATCAATGGAAAGCAACCGTAGTTTCGTTCACGCTGCTTGAATCGCCGTATAAAAGAACTTGCACTTGTATAGAGATGCCACGGCAACTTAGGGTGATACAGGTAAGCGGGAGGCCGGGACGTCTTTTCAATAAGAATGTTTAGACATGCATGGAGGCAGAGGGAAGTTAGCTACAGAACTAGCACATGAAAGGTTTCCTATATATAGGTACGTAAGTGAGACGTATGTCGAGCTTAGTGGTTGCATGAAACTATTTACGTAGTTTTCTTAGAAATATTATACCTACCCATAAAGCGTATAAGAAAAAGGTCCGAATACAATTTCGATGGTACTCGTACGTGACAGATAAAAAAAACTTAACCAATAATAATATACAATAGAGAAACAATATATTCACTTCATAAAAAAAGTGTGTTTTTTAGCATGCGCGGACTATTGAAAATTAGTATTAAATCTCTATAGTATTCTATATTCAACATTTTTAATGTTTTTTATACAATTAAAAATAAATAAAAAATTAAACTATTTTCTCGGATCTAAGTACCGTTTATTAGTGTTTTTAAAAAACCAACATCTCGGGCCGTTCACAGATCCCATATACAGCTGACTGAGACGGTGAAGTCACTCTAATGTTGATGCAAACGACCCTATATTTATTGCATGGACCCTAAGAACTCGATACGAAAACTAAAACTACGGTTCCCAATTTCTTTGCGATTATAAATATTTTGAATAGTAAACGAAAGCCGATGTCTTTTTTTGTTTCAACGTCCTGAACAAGCTCGAGAGCTTCAACTTCATAGCCAGCCAGTATAGCAAATTCGCAATCTTGTCTTGGGCTAAGCAATCCTGCAAAGCCTTTCTCAAGAGCAAGTAGTGTTTAAACATATTTCCCCGGTGCCTTCTACTCATCTCCAACGTACGGGTAATCCTATTAGGTACTGCCTCCAAATTCGTCCAGGCACTTGCCAACCGTCACTTTTCCATATTAAATTTGCATGTTAAAAAGAAAAACCTATTATTTACAAGATTGTTCAAAAGGTATAGGCGATTTAGGTGTTTATAATTATTAATACAAAGAGCAAACACTTAGAAAAAATTCTTCAATCTGATAGGACTCGACCTGCGTTGTAATCTTGGCATTCAATAAAAATTAATATTAGGTGTTTATTTTAACAATAAATGCATTTGGAGTATCATTCGTTGATATATTTCTTTGACAATATTTTTGTTAAAAGGTATTTGTTTGCTACAGTGACCTTATGCTAAAGCATTACTAAAGAGTTTTTTTTCTTTTTTTTTTTATACTTGACAGGCAAGTGACTCCACTCCACCTGATGTTAAGTGGAAAGTGGTATCCAAACGCGAAGGAACCGTAGGAGTAAAGTAGTTTTTGCAATTTGGAGAAGTCTAGGATGATATTACAGCATTTCATTGGGCTTATGATAATGTTTGCTTCACTTAAAATTAATTGTTGAGTAATCATCATGTGATTTTTAGTCAAAAAATCGTACGTAAACTATAAAAAAAGTATCACTTTATTTACCTAAAAAAAGCATCTCTACCTATCTAAGATTGCAACTTAACCGATTAATCTCATGACAAGGTGAGCAAAGAAAAAGACTTTAGAAAGATCGTAGTACACAAATAAACTTTACTAATATGTTTTCACAAAATAGTTTTGTAATCACTTCTCACAATACTTACAGTATTTTGTTCACATTTAGAAATCATTCATAAAGAATGGTTAGGTCAAGTGTATTCTGAACCGATGATCGTATATGAGGGTATTGATGCATGTTGATGAAATGGGTAGGTTTCAGGTTAGTTGTCTCTACCTAAATTCGTTGTCTCGACCGTCATTCTGCAAACAATCTAGGTATATTGCAAGTGATACATTACATTACATAATACATGTATACAGGGTGACCTCTAGAAATCACAAAAAAAAAAATTTAATTATTAGCTTGATTGAACCTGTAGGGGGAGGGACTATGGCCTAAATTCGTACGTCTGAATTGATGATGTTGTTGTTTATTGATGTTGACAACGCATAGCTTCTGACATCAGAAGTGAAATTGGACTCTGTGCCGAGGTACTTATTGTCAGTCGGCTGTACTTGTAAGGAGTTTAGATCTTTATTAAGTTCATCGGTTTCGCGCGATACTTGGAAGGTCCAGTCAAGTCTCACCCGCTCGGTTGTGCTAGGTACGCTCTCTTCTAGTTGCACAATCTTGATTTTACATTTATATTACATATTTTAAAATAACGTGTTACATGATAACGTTTTTGGCGACCAACAACTGGTATAGAACAGCAGATTTTTTCTTTTGTGTTTATCCCCATATCACGCAGAAACTAACAGACAAATTGTAATGAAATTTAGCAGATTAACACTTTACATCTCTGAGTAACAAAACTATACAATACAGCTCTTTTTTCCCCTGTTACGTAATCGTGGTGCCCTAGAAATTTATAGAAAATAATTGGACGTTGTGACGCGCAGCACCAGCTTGCAGTTAGGTGGAATTCTTTTTTGTAAGTCATATAAAACAGTAAATTTTTAGAAAAAATACAAAGAAGCCGACGGCATAAAAAATTATAGAGGAAAAAGAAGATAAAGAAGATTCAAACAAATTTGAAAGGAAAATGCTATTATCCTACGATGCGGGTAACCTAGTTTTATAACTGAAAACGTCACCATCAGAAGGATACCTCAAGGAAAGACGCTTCTATTAATTCAGTTACTTCTCATTCTGGTTTCGCAAAATATGCAGACGCTCTTTTGCCGACTCCAACTGTTTATTCTGTCGTTGTGCCTCTATTTTTAGTTCTTCAAGGGTATTTTTCAGCGCCCTCCATTTTTCCTTTCTCGCCCTAGTCTGTGGAATGTTCGGTATAATTTTATTATTACGAAAAGGTTTTGTTTTCGATGGCTCTTTCTACGAAACGCTCCGAATAAGACATCGGACCGAAGATCGCAATTTGCGCATGAATTTTTTTCTTTCTACGAAACCTCAAATAATAGATGGTGTATCAAAGTTTTCTGCTGGCTAATGAGATCCCTCTTTAATAATCATTTACAGGATAAGTGGCGTCAAAAATATATCAATCTCCATGGGAATAAAGGATTTAAGTAGGTTCAACAAAGTAAATAAAGAATAAATAAACTGTTTTAAATGAATAATTTATAATGAACTAGGCCAGCACAAACCAAAAAATGGTAGGATCTGCTAATTCAGACGTGTGTGTTTGAATGCCGTAAATGGATTACGTAGAAAAATTCTCTGATCCCAAAATCTATCTTTTTTCTATGAACACTACCAAATCGAAATTTATGACATTTGCAATGCTAAAAAGTGCCCAAACAAACAAAAAATTCAAGTCCACGAATGCGAAAAATCAGAGACATTGTATCACCAAATCTTCTTAATACAATTTGTCAGTCAATAATTACTTACTGTTATCCAGTCTGAGGTGGTGCATGTAAAACAAGATTTATTGAACTGGAAAGAGCACAAAGGCTTGTACTCAAGGTTAAGAGAAGACTTTATTATCAGTACCCCACAGGACGTCTTTTTGCAGAGTCGAATTTGTTAACTGCACGACAATTATTTATCTTAAATTGTATAATGTTTTAACATAAAAAACTACATTTTGATCCTGCATAAACTTCGTTAAGATTTTTGAGATGGAACGATCGAAGAGATCTTCAGAGTCTTTAAATTAATTAAAATTCGAACGAGCTTAGCCTCACGTTTTTAACTTTTGTCGGTCCCTACATCTAAGTACAATCGCCTTAACGAACACATGGAAATGTATCCTAAAAACAGATACAATTGTAAAGTAGCTGTAAAAGATAATCTTTCAAATAACTGTAATCACAAAGATACTGAGTCTATTCTACGAATAATTCAGGAAACGCGATTTACCACTTTCACCAATAGATTACATAAACAGTAAAGGCTGTCACTATAGCAAACATAGATTTCAGCAATTTCGAACATAACACATGTACATAAGCATGCGAGTGCACGAATCAGAATTCACTCCACCAGAACGAGCTAATCATTGTTACTTTCTTTTAATTATTTTATTTTTGTTTTTAGTATTATTGTTTCTTTGCTAACTGCGTCTTATCAGGAAGAATCTGACTTCCAAGATACAGTATCATACTAATTTGGAAATCAGAGCTACATGATGATGTAAAAATGTTTTTTTTGAAAAAGATAGAATATTGTTATTATTATTTAAAACGTAATTAATTAACAATTCAATAATATTGTTCCTGATTTCAAAACAGCTATCTTATCAACAAAAGTAGAGGTAAGAGAAATTATTTTAATCTCCACTCAACTTCCTATTTGTCCTATCCTTCCTATGTATCCTATTTGTGTTGAAACTATGTTAGGTTTAGATCCCAATCTAAGATTTACTTGCTAAGTTAATATATGTACTTCCTTTTAATGGAAATTATCACACTGTGGGAGAAATAACTTACCTCAAAACTTTCTAGGGCTTTTGATCTCGCTGGTGAACAGCCCTAGAATATTTTAGAAGAGATATTAAAACAATCTTCACTCTCCTCAAAAAGATTTTCGAAATGGTTTGCCGTACGTCAGTAGTCGCTTACGCATTTACCATCGGTAAGCAGTCTCAAGAGACTTCGATTCCTTTGACGTCGCCTCTATACTTCATCTTCCCGTATTTCTTGTTGAAGACGCGTCTCAATTAACAGGAGTCGTGATATATTTAGACAGTTCAAACTCTAATGATACCGAGTGGTAACTCGAGCTTCGTTGAGGTTATATAATTTCTATGTTCAAGGGCCTTTCAAACAATTGGTGGTGGTCTAAGGTTTCCGCAAATACATGACATGTGTCAAATTATGATTTTCGGTCGAAGTTCGGGTTGACATTCAATCGGAAGCGTTTCGTAGTATAAATTGTGAAAAATTTAAGTACGATGATAGTTGTTTCCAATTTTGTAGTAAACCCTCTGATGGCTTAAAAGATGCTATACCAACCTTTTTCGCTTTGATATTTGCTTGCCTGTTGTATTCAAATATCAAAATTGTCGCTCCCAGCATGAAAACTATCAGTTCCCCTGTTGGGATAAATGTTGTATGAAATTTTATATACAAATACAAATTAATCAATCGAATATGGCAATTGGCTGGTGAGATAGCCTGTCGTTAACTAGTAAGAATTTACCTATAGATTTTACTTTGTTGTATAAAACCTGTAGTATAAAATTCTAATTTAATAGACGATTGTTTTCTCTGGATTTCGCCATGTACTAATTCATTATTTTATATTAAAATGCTTGGGATTACCTAGCAAGTCAGCGCCAAGGTCGTGGGCTTCAGCAGGAGAGACACGAGGTACAACTATTTGATGTCTGGAGGCAAAGTTCGAGTTGCCAGCCAGCCGCAGTGCCATCATACGACAGTGAATTTCTCCGTATCGGTAATACCAGGCTAGTCGTCCGCACACGTTTTGACTGAATACAGGATGGTTCTTCGCGTATTCCTATCAGATATTGCAAACGAACAAGTTATTTCTGTGTGTACCTGTACTTATAATCAAGTGTGGCTCGTAGTACCTAATATTTTAAAATATTTTACTCTAACACAATAGATTTTAGACCTTTTTGTCTTTCGTGATAAGAAACAAATATGGATTAGATACCTTGATGCGGGTAGCAATGGGCGAGCTGATTTGACGAGCGATTAGTGTGCCCAATTTAAACATAGGAAACTGTTCCGACATATTAAAATTAAATTATTATTGCTTTTAATTGTTATTGTATTCTCTCGTGCTGGTACCTCAACGTACTTATATGGTAGATATATAATATAGTATCTTCTGTATCCGTTTATTCCTGTGTCTTTCAATTTCCATTTTATTTGATCATATTATTATTATTATTTCCTTAATTGGCAACCAATTATGTCCTTTGATTTTTTGACACATTTGACTTTTTTAATTTGAACCAAGACTTGGCTGTGTGGTTTCAAACCTTTGTCTTTTCCTTTACGGAAAGTTCTTATTAGAATATCTATTTATTGTTTTTCGTCTTATAAGTTTTCTAGCGAGGCTTACTTTTTTCATTTAGAAGGCTAATTTTTCTAATTCTTATTTCTAATTTCAATTGAAACAGGCGTGTATTTTAAAAATTAAAATTTTCTGCAGAGAACCGTGACAGATGTTTGATAAGTGACACTGATTAAATTATTTCTCAAGAGAATATTTATTACAAGTATAATATCATTGTTTATTTATGAATCTTATAAAACTGACACTGGTACAAGCTTAGTGGCCGCCTGAAAGGAAATAATAATAATATGCAATAATATTTCATAAAAAATACACTATTTTGAATACATTTTTAAATGATACTTTTTAACTCTTATAAAATCCAATTTATTTATTATTATAAATAATTAACCCTATAAAATGGATATCACATATCAATACACGAAGAGGCGCTGCGATTTTGGCCGTCAGCCTCTGTTTTGCGAGCAAGGTCCTGATATGTGCGACTCCATAGCTACTGATGTCACGGAGCACAAACGTTACATCCTGCGCAACCCAGTTCACGAGCTGATACAAAATACATCAGATTTTTCTGAGCACTACGTCAACACTAGAAGGTGTAAATCATTGTGTAAACCATTTCTCTTTCAGCGGTATCTTCTTAAAAGTTTATTTTATGGATTCTTCTTTATTTCAGAGCGAAATACACACAATCTGGTGCGAATCATTCGGAGGGTGGATGGCCTAAAGACGTCAACATATTAGACCCAGAAGCCACACAGCGCTACCGTCGTAAAGTTGAAAAAGATGATGGCTATATTCATTGTGTTATGGCTTTGACGAATGTAATTTTTTTGTCCTTTTACACTCTGAAATTAGTTTATAGCGATAGCAATAACGTTAGTTTAGTATGATTAACAGGGCATGGAACATTACGTGTATCAAAATAATGCAATTGACATGTATCAATCGTACTACAAAGAGATGAAAGAGCAGCCGGACGTGGAGCGCATTGGCATGCGCACAGTTAACGTATATCGTGATCACGACCACCGACCGGTCAGCTCAATATCGTGGCAAGCAGAGTCAAGTTATCATTTTGCCGTCTCCTATGTAGATTTTTCAGATTTTTATCGGACACCACGCAGTACTATCACTGCTGCTTTATGGGATGTAGAGAATGCCAATAGTCCAGAAGCGATTTTGCATCCTCATACAACATTGTTCGACTTGCAGTACAGTCCCCGTGATCCTAATCTCCTCATAGGTGGATTTCTTAGTGGCCAAGTAGGTTCGTGGGATAAACGCATAGCGGGTGCGCCTACTCACGTCAGCGCACCGCATGTAGCACACCGGGACTTTGTGCGCAATGTAAGGTTCATTAACTCAAAGTCTGGTGTGGAGTTTTTTTCTTCAGGACCAGACGGTGTGTGCAAGTGGTGGGACCTAAGGCAATTAGAAGAGCCTACTGACGAAATGATCATGGACTTCGTCACGTCAAGTTTTGACTCGCAAAGCATGGTAACAGCTAGTGGCGTTTCTTGTCTCGAATATGAGGCTACAATACCCACGCGCTTTATGGTCGGTTGTGAGAATGGCAGAGTAATTGGCGGCAATCGCAAAGGAAAAACCCCAATGGAAAAATTACCCTTTAAGGTGGGTCGTTGGTCAATATCAAAGTAATGTGAACGGTGAAATATCTAAATGGGCAGCTTTATATGTTTGTTCAGAGTGTCCAAAATATACATATATACATTTGACGAAAATCAACCTGAATCAATGTCAAATCAAGGTGTACTTAAAAGGTTAGTCCTGAGACCGCGTTCCAATTTCGATACGTTAATATGGACATCTTACATTAAAAAGTTTTATTTCCATATCTAATATATTGGAAAGAACAATAAACTACAAAGATTTCATGAAAATGAAAAAGTGTCCATGCACAGACAAACACAACAACAATCACCTAACTGTACTAACTTCACCTTTAAGTCATTTGTTTAAAGTAAGAAATATCTTGTTGAAACTTCAAATCCCCCATACAAATATTTTTAAAAAATATCAAGTGACGGGACGAAAAAGTCGCGTCGCTGATGATAAGGTACACGCCTGTCCATAACAATTGCAACGCCACTCAGAGCTTTCAATCGCAAGGATCTGAGGGGTGAGAGACATAAGTTGACAAGTTCCATGTGCCTGTAATTTCACCTGTAATATCCTATTGGCTGTGGTTTTGTGTCATTGTTTCGCTGAAGTTGTTTTTTTATCATCAGTACGTTTAACAGAGAAGGTACCGTTTCAACCTGTATTTAAATGTTTGCGGTGTTTTAGTGAATAATAATTAATGGCGGTAGATAATAATGACCTTTAAGACGAAGACTGCTACTTGTAGATCGATGCTCATTTGGGTCCAGTTTGGTCACTAGAGCGAAACCCAGGCTTCCTAAAGAACTTTCTTACGGTGGGCGACTGGACAGTGCGAGTGTGGAGCGAGGAGTGTCGTGAATCGGCGATTTTATGGTCTCCACCACTACGCTACAGCTACACGGCCGGCAACTGGAGCCCAACGCGTCTTAGTCTCATGTTAATGTGCGGTATAGACGGCCGTATTTCCGCTTGGGATTTGCTGCGGCGCCAACATGAACCTGTACTCACTATGCAACTTCCCGATCCGTTACTTCGGCAAAGCTTCCACGATCAGGTCTCGCTTTATGTTTTTGTTAGATTTTGGTTGCGAAATTCTAACATTTCATTGATTTTATGTGTCATTCAGGGCTCGATTGTGACTGTGGGAAGTCGTAAAGGAAATATTTTTCTGGTAGAATTGAGCCTCACGCTTGCACAGTCAGAAAAGAACGACAAGGGTATGCTTACTGCGGTCAGTATTTTACTCTTTTAGACACATCTTTATGTATCTACTATAAATGAATAGCTAGGCATTAAAAACTAATTATATAAATATAATTAATTATACTATTTATATTTAGAAATTATTCCAAAGAGATCCTTAATCGTACTATGAACTATCTACCTTGATTTTGATTAGGTTAGCCTTACCAAAGACAAATACTGATTAGTTTTTTCTTTATTTTAGTAACGATGGGTTAAATGTTCACAGATATTTGAGCGTGAGAGCAAACGTGAGCGCATTTTAGAAGCTAAACTCCGAGAGATCAAGTTAAAGATGCGACAAGCTGAAGAAGGATCTCCTAAGGCATCCGCTACTGATATAGATCCGACTCTGAATGATCGAGATCTCGCTGAAGCCACTACGGATTACTTTTCACAGGTTAAGAAGGAGCTGGCTGCCATGTAACAGAGGCTCAGACTTGTATGGAGAGAGTTTGGATTTTGGCACATTATATGCCGTAGTTTGACGAAATAAACTGATACATAGGTTGGTGTGTCCTCATACAAAGCGTGATGATTGCTTTGCCGTCTCTACTTTATCAAAGCTTGTAGGTACTAGCTCAGATTATTGTACAAGCTAGTTGAAGAACGTTCTAGGTTAGTATTGTATTCTATAGTTAGTTGTAATGTTAACTTTCAGCATTTTTTTTGTCATTACCGTAATGTGAATTAGAGAAATTTAATTTTAATAGATTTAATCATGTTATTAAATTGTGACAAAATATCTCATTTTTAACGCTTTTTCAGTTTCATTTCCTTGACTTTCGCTTTAATGTTCGGAGAGTATTAAAATAGTACCAAATTCTGTGGCTACTAATACAGTAGTATAAGTTCGGATATAAGAACGTTCTATTACTAAGGGGTTCCGATAAGCGATTGCTCCTATAAAATTGAGTTGTGACCTCGAGTTAGGCGTTGTCGAAGATTGAAGAGGTCGTTAAATTCGGCTCTGAGAGAGCTCATTGAAATTTATAGAGGAGCGTAATTAGGTGAGCTCGTAGCATTTTCGCGTGATGAAATCTACTTTTGCCTCGATTTCCTATAGAAATTTATACGTCACGCATATGTACGTGTAAAATCCAATCGAACAATAAATAAAGGAAATCATCAGATATATTACACGTAATGGCTTTGTTCTTTGCACTAAAATTAATTCAGCAAACAAAGAGATAAATACTAATTGCTTAGTACAGTTGATGCGTTAGTACTTGATCCTTACATATTCAACAAAAAAGGGTAAAGAAATTACAGCTTTTTGGTTGAAATTTGTATTTATGTAATGTAATTATAGATTAAATTGGCTTAAAAAGTTTCTTAAATCGTCATTCACCAATGATGCAATAAGGAAGTTATACCAAAATTAATTTTGTGATTCACAAGTTAACGGTTAAATTTGTTAAACATATTCACACGATGTAGACGGTTACGAAGTCAGGTATCTTAGAGAATCGACTGTACATATACACATTATCACACTAATTAAAATCAAAGTTACCGTCCATCGTCCGGCAACTCAGACGGTAAGCCACATAATAAATCTTAGTCATTTTTCAATATTGCGAGAAACGGCTGCAAAAGCGCTATAGTCAAATGTTTAAAATGTCTCGCAATTTTCACGCCTCGGGGGAAGCTTACAATTACCCATAGACAGCGTTAATTCCTCACGGGGTAGAAAAGAAATGAACAGACACCTCTGCCAAAATGAAAAGAGGCCTGATTTACAGCGCGCGTAAAACCCGAGGTCGGATCTTATTAACATTACTTTTTATAACATGAAGAGCGCTAAATTGTAACAGTGTAGAGAGAAATTTAATTAAAACGTCTAGTTAGAACGTGTTAACTAGCGTCATTAAACTGTAAGGTCCGCGTGGAGGAAACGTCCTCAAGGACGCAATCTGTCTTTTTTTCAATATTATTAATACAATATTATTCCGTTGCAAAGAAACGCACACCTCGTAATTTAAAAGTTATATTATATTTAGTAGCAGTAGAGCTGTTTCTGAAAAGTTCGTCTAGGCAAGTACTTACCGTCTTATCTTTTTCTGACGCCAAGAAGTTATGTACGCAATACTGCATTTCGGTTTTGAAGGGTAAGGGTGCTGGTGAAATTAAAGCTCATGGGACTTGTCAACTCATGACTCAAGGTGACGGACGCAGTGGCAGTGGAAAGTGGCACTACATCTCTTATGGACAATCGTGTCGCTTACCACCAGGCGCACGACTTGTTCATTCTATCAGTTGGTATCATAAAAGAATCTCTCTCTCCTCTCTATCTCTATATCTTTGTCTCTTGGTATCGTATTACCTATTCTACTGGTGACATAGACACAAGTAGCTCTACTCTCCAATTTAATAATATGTAATATATCGAAGGGACGAATAGAGGTGGGGCAGGTACCCAATGTATTTATGGAGATGTATACGAGAATAGATTTGTGTGGAGACAGTAATATATGGGTCATGTAATTTGTTTCGGGTCTATGCACATAAGTACTTTAGACAATTGTTAAACATACTGTTGTCTGAAGTAGGTTTATTGTTAATGTAGACATCTTTCAACGGAATACGTGTATATAACGGAATATGTATTATGCGATAATTGTAACATTTTTACTTTTTTGAAAAATTTGCTTATCCGTTTTGTCTGTTTTAATTTTATTGAAATTACATCTGTGTGCCAAGTTTTATTGAAATCGGTTAACGAAAAGTGAGTAAAATTCAATAAACTGGAATCATCCCCTCATTTGCCATTCTTAGAGGTGGAATATTTTCTTCAAATATGAATGGGACTACTAATGAGGGACCCCCTTTCCAACAAAAAAATGATCATCAAATTCGTTTAATAAATGTCGAAGTAATCGCGTAACATACACACAAAAAATAAGACAAAAAAAAGAAATTGAGGACTTCCTCCTTTTTCGAAGTGCCGGTTAAAAAAAGCGGGTACCCTGATGCGCAAAATTAGTGGCAGCGATACTCATCAGCACACCATCCTGAGTATCATTATATCCACCCTGGATATAATGATACCTTTTCATGAGCACTGGAACCGAATACATATTAATGAATACAAAAAAAAATATTTGTGATTACTAACCCTATTTTTAAGTGTCCTAGGAAATGAAACTATTTTTTTCAGATCTCAATCACGTGATTGTTTTTCAAACCTACTAAGGTTTTGGATTCTTTATAGGGCCTATGATCATGTCTGGCTGAGACGACCCAAGAACTCGATATTTAAGTGTTCTGGTAATTGATTTGGTAAGAAAAGCAATCATTGTACTCTAAGAGTACGTTATTTATGACATAGTAAATTTATTTGTAAACAGGTCAAAATGGCAACTACATGAAGAAATATATATTAGTGTTAATTTTTTTTAAATTGTAAAATGCGTATAGGTACTTGTTTTCAAACAAATTATCGCTTCGGGCCTTTAGTCCAATTGTCATGGCTGACTGTCAGTCAGATTTAGATCCAAAATAAACAGTTTAATTTCCTATGGATACCATGTATTGGCACTCGTGTTTTAAACGAGAAAATTTAAGTCATGACAATCTTTATTTTCGATATGAGTTGTTCAAAGATGCCAAAAAAATAATAAATACCAAACATGTTTGTAACGGGATTTTTAAGAGTTGGCCCCGAGCAACTCAGCTTCTCGAGCCCGAACCTTTTCAAGAGGCTCAAGGAAAAATCAGTTTTTTTTTATATCGACCTTTCGCATAGGGCACTCAATGGTTCAGTAATACACTATTTATTTGCGACAGCATATTTGTGTTCACAAGATTAATATTTTACGGCCACTTCAATGTAATGTTTTATTCATTTATTAGTTTTGATTTGTACCTTCATATTGATAATGTGCATTACAATATTAACTGGGAATATTAATATAGTGGAGTTTGTGGATATCACAGCTTAGTCAATTAGCAAAACCACTGAAGACGGCGAGGAGGTAGAAGAACTACTTTTCAAGTTGGTTCTACCGTAGGAAGTGAAACTATTTTAGCGTATTTCGTCGCTTATGTTTTGTTTTTCCAAACAAACCCGGAAAAATAGTTTTATTTCCGATGTGTAACAATCGCGAAAACCTATGAACTCGATTAGTTCTACCGACCAACATTTTCAAATGGTAATCATTATGAAAAGTAGAAAAAAAATCATCAAGTTGAAAAAAAAAAACATGTTTTCTACCCCAGACAAAAGTGTTATTGATTGTGAACTATTGTGTGGAGCATTTTTTTTCAAATATTTATTTCAGTGGTTTTTTGAAGTATAAGCGCTAGCTCGAATAGGGGAGGACCGTTTTGTTGTGCCTTGATAAAAATGTAAAATCTTTTTTACAAGCCGTTCTTGGAACATGTCAAATTCAGATATTTCGTACTTAGAAAACGTACCTTTAATCTTGGGCAAAGCATTTTGACCGTAAAATGTTGCTTACATACATTTCATATTAGTGGCAGTACGGTTTATAAGCGATTATTGGTTGACCGTGTGCTACTCAAAGCTCGGTCAGTGAATGCTTTGTTAAGCTAAAGTCATTCTTTACTGTGGTATTGGTTGATCAAATGACTGTAATGGTTAGCTATCTTGCATAAATCCTCTGATCAAAATGTTAAGAAAGGTGTACTAGAGTTAGGGAGATTATGCGCTTTCTGCAAATGCTCTGGGGAATTTTCGAGTTAGGGAATTTGTTCACAAATAAAGAGCCCATAAGTCCTCCAACCGAATCCCTAATAAAGTCGTGCGTCACAGAACTAAAGTGATCGACGAACTTAACGCTGCTAACAGATTGATTGCTTATGTTTGCAGTTAATGTGTGAAGTCGTAATCAACTTCATACAGCCGAGACCACGACTGCATGAAGTTGATAACAATTTCAGTTTTTCAAGGAAAACAAATAAATGAAGTACAGTCACAAAGACTTTTAACAAATGCAGCAATAAATATTCAGGGAGATGGAAGTTCACAACAAAGTATGAAGACATTGACAACCAATAGCGACAAGGCCGGACGAGGGTGTTAAAGGGTCCGGAAACAAGACAGATGCCCTTAGAATAAAGGGAATTGCCGAATAAGGAAGTTAGTTCTAAATATACGTAAGACATCGGAACTTATGTTGCTATTTACTTGAGTGACTACTAAGAACTTGTTCTAATACACTTCAACATTTTCTCGATTTCAAAATAAAGTTGCGTCTATAATGTCTATCCGCACACAATGTCACTAAAAATATGTGTAGGTATTGTCCACAAAATTCTTATCACATTAGTGTCAGTTTGTTTTGAACGTAACAAAACGCATTATTTCTACTTAAACAACTCAACAGAGAAAAATGGCGAGTTTTTGAAGTTACAAGTACATTCTTTACGAAGATTATTTTTATTATATGTATATTATGAAGCAAATATGAAGAAAGAAATAATGATGATTTCTTGATGATGAAGAAAGTTAGAACTATATTCGTTATTTTAAACCAAATTTCAAAAGAGATTCATTGAGGATCCCGATAATTAAACGAAGACATGTCTTGTTTTCAAGTCAAAAATCTTAATAAAAAATAAATTCAACAGGCGTTTGTTGC